CGGCGGCTCTGTCCGACCTGCCTAGAGATCCACCATCCCGGGCGGAGCTGCAGTCCTTACGTCCAGCAGCTCATAAACTTGTTCATCCCTGATCAGTCTTCAGCAACCCTGCTTGGATGAGTTGCGGCACTGCAAAGTAATTTATGCCTGGACGGCGCTTTGTGAAACGACTCCGGCTCTGTCAGGCACAGAGCTCCGACTTTTGATTTTGGGGATCTCTCAGGAAATTCCTTAAACAAAATTGTTCTTCACACTGTGCGCAGATCCCACACACCCTGTGGCTCTGAATTTGCCGCTGCGTCGGAAGCATCCTAGCGCCATGGCCAGGACATCATCGACATCGGCTTTTCGTGCCGATTGAGGGTGGGCGGGAAAAGAACACGCATCCCTGTTGCCTCCCCCTCTGCAAATTTCCTTTAATGCCATTTGCTGTCCAGATCCCCCGTCCGTCGTGTCTTTGGCCTGATGCGCCCGCCTTCTCGCGTGAGCTTTCTCGTCCGCGAAGACCAGGCGCGGGGTGGCAGCTCCTTCTCGAAGGGCTGCCAAACTGCCAGGTCCAGTACGGCAACAGACCCAGTTCATGAACCCTGCGATTGAGCGCGACGAGCAGCTGTGCGGTCCTCGTCTTCTTGCGGGGTGCCGCCCATCATCGTGATGTACCATTGACATCATTTTTCCCGTCGCAGCCAAATTAGCCAAGCTCTCTGGTGCGAACTCTCAGTCGTCACTTTGGTCGATGATGGATGATGACGGCACGCTGGCCCAACTGAGCATGAAAGGCAGTCCACGCCTTGTTTGCCATCCCATTGCGGCTCGAACGGATACTCAAAGGGGAAAAGGAGGGACCCTTAATAAGGACCCCTAGGTATATACCCTTAATATAGCCATTATATACCCGTTATATAGCCATTATATAGCCCATTATAGGGTAGGGGTCCCCATTAAGGGTCCATCCTTTTCCCCTTTGAGATACTATGAAGTCCAAGGCCAGGGATGCATCACGTGTAGCAAAACAAGACGTGGCTGACCGCGCGCCTCGAAAATCGAGACACGCATCCCTGGTGGCCGCTGTGCTCGGGCCACAGCTGATTCGTGGGATGTGTGTCCCATCCGCCTCCCTCTGCAAATTTCGTTGTAATGCCCTTTCTTCATGTCATGCTTTTGAAAACAAAATTCGGAGTCACTAAGTTGGCGAGAAACACGCCTTCCAAGGCAAGGGCCGGAAAGAATCCTGTGGCACAGAAACACTTCAACCGAGCAGTTTGGCAAGCACCAAAGCAGGTTCGAAGCAGGTTCCACAACGAGGAGAAGCCCCAACCAGGACCACTGGACCAGGGCTCTTCACATCTTTACATTCACAGTAGGCGTTAAGGGATCTCCTTACAAACTCGTTGACACCGAGATTCCGATTCCTTCCTGGCCAAGCGCTCGAACTCTGCCTGCCTCTCCTGGAAAGGGGTCATAAAACAGGGCACGCAGGCAGACAGGGCACTTCCTCAAAGATCGCAGCTGAGACTTCTGCAATGACAGGAAGTGAAGTGAAGAAAACAAAACTCTGCGAATGCCCGGAGAATCGGACCCACCTTGGGAGTCGATTTGGCTTCGATCGTTTTCCGCAACTCCTGCATGCTTACACTCTCCGAGACTTCTTGAGCTCCCTAAGAGCACTGCCCATGCAGACTCTGCTTTGCACTGTGGCTCATCCAATCTTCGAACCGTGACGACGAAGCCGGCCTTCACCTGATAAGTGGCCTCCTCAATGTTGCGGGTGATGACCTCACGGGTCACTCTAGGCGGAGCAAGTCAAGCGTCATGACGGATCTGGAACTAGTGTTCCGCCGAGGCCATGACGCGCTCCCTCCAAGAACTGGGTCTCCTGCTGGGGCGCACTGCAGATGAACTGTGCAGCTTGCAGTGGGTCTCTGCTTATCGAGGTCCTGGACTTGGTGTGTTTCTTCAAGAGGTGTAAGCAGCGGACGCTAGTAACCTGACGGTAGCGAGGCGGTGCGGCTCCAACTCGTCACACTAAACAGCCACAAACAGGCAAAGGTTGCATGAAGAGCTGCCTCTGGCGGCTCGGGAAGGGCTTCAAAAGGGAGTGATGCGCAAACGAGGATGAACGAGCAGCACTCTCAGCGCTGGAACCTCGTTCACAAGCAAAGCCGAGAAACTGGCTTCTTGACCTGCGGACCACGGAAGGCAGGAATTTACAGCATGTCACCCGAACCCGGCAAGAGAACACTCTCTTCATTCCGCAGCCCACGAACAGCGACCGCTGATCAATTTGCCATCCTAGTCTGTCGGCACAAGTTTCGGAGTTAGCATTCGGGTCTGTATCGGGTTTATGCGCAGCTGTATTATGCCATGCCGTGCACGCCTGTGGAACGTGCTGGTTCGTCACCGCGACAGTCTCTGCATGAGCTTCCGGGAGCCCGTCGAACAGGCCGCCCGCTGAGCCGCCATTGCTTCCGCCACCTGAAAGCCCACCAGCTCATCGAGACAGAAGTTGCAGCAGTTTGCAGCTCAACTCTCTGCTTCGAATGCTCCTTGTCTGTCCACTCAATTTGGACACATGTCACGCGAAGTCAACGCATGCAACTCTGATGTGACTGCCTCCAGCCGACAGAGTAGGCCAGGGGGCGACCTGGGTTTGAGAGACAGGGAGTGCGGCAGTACGGTCCAGAGACATCTTCAGAGAAGAAAGCTTTGTCACATAGCTTAGAGCCGAAATTCTGAAGCTTTCTGAAGCACTGACTCTGCCCGTCCCAAGGAGAGACCTTGCTCTCAAGCTCTGACCTTTCTCTTCTTTGTCGCCATTTCCTCCTGCGGAGGAAGACGGAATGCATGCCTCGATCACCTACCCAGGTTGACTACAAGGGCTCGACGGCTGAAGCGGCAGACGGAAAACGATCATGGAACACCCACCAGGACCTACCACCAACTATAGACATGCAACTACTGTCGGTGATCTGCTTCGGCTCATTTCGCATCGCGCCCCCGGTAACACGCGTGCGCCGTGGAACTGCTGTGTCTGGAAACGTCTGGCGTGAATGGTGTCACTTCATCCACTTTCATGACACTGAACGAGGGTTATATACATGACACATCGCACCTCAGCCGTGGTCACGGTCGTCGTCTCAGCCATGGCGGCAAATGCCGGCTTCGAGCCAAAAGAGCTGAATGATCGGGATCCTGTGAAACATCGCGGATGTGCAGGTGAGAACGACGGCAAGGGCGCAGGAATGGCAGACCTTGACCCGCATCGGCGATGTCGCAGAAGGTCGAGGGGCCTGGGCTGAAGTTGAACGAGTCATTGACTCAATGCAGTCCCTAGGGTTGAGCTGTTCGAGGCTCCGGTGTGTCGCTGTAAACGTCCTTTCTAAGAGTGCGCTGTGGTCGGCTGCCTTCAAGCAGCACTGGCGCCACGACCATGAATCACACCCACATTCTCCCCTCGGTGGAATTTTTGTCCCTGCACCGGCTAGGCCCTGCTGGACTCCAGTCGTACACTGCTATTTACAGCAGAAGCCCATCTAGGCTTCATGCCAACTTCATGCAGTGATTGCAAAACAGGCTGTGATGATGCAAATCCGTGACCTGTCTGGATATAACTGATATGGCACCAGCAGTGCTTCTCGATGTTAACCTGTGACATAGGTACGCGGGAGGGACGTGTAGGAAGCTAGAGCGACCGCCCCTCTCCCCGCCAACTTCACCGCACGCCGCCCACACCGCCACAAGAATCACCAGCATGCGTTTCTCCAGGAACTCACGTGAGTACAGGCTTGAACTCCAACACAAAATGCAACCGCGGCCACCATCCCAGCCACCGGGATTGGGTTCCAGAAGCGACGCGTACACCTAGATTGCATCATGTCATACCCAGGATCTTGTAAAGCCTGCATGTGTTTGAGGAACCTGCAGAATCCTGTGACGACATTGACATGTCCCCTGCACGCCGTAAACTACGCCTGAGCAACTTCCTGTTCTTCAGTACGGCAATGCGCAGGCCCAGGTTCTGTCTAGTTTAATGTGAAGACTTCCACGGAATGGAGTCGTCCATAAACACTTGGAGCAGGTCTCCCTGCTGGACAGACTTCAACACAGCATCATGTGTTGTGAGGGACAGAGAACTCTGACCGCTGATTGACATCCCACACGTTTTCAGCACTTCTGGTCTTCGAGCACCGGCTGCAACAACAAACCCTTCTCTTGACTTCTTGGTCTCCCTCACAGTATCGAATGCCGAGGCCATCTCTCTGCATGACCACAGCCTTTGGAAACGGGGCTTCATCCCCACGTGCAACTCGGCAGGTTGGCAAAATGTGATTGCTCAGCCGTCGCCGTTGAGTAGTGCCCTTCTCCTCGGAGAATCAAGGCCAGGGGCCTGCCATGGCCTGCCGAGTCAATCTGCTCCAAAGGCATCAGAGCTTCGGCTGCGCAGAATGCCTTTTGAAGCTCTCAACAGATCGCGCAGATGCCGTGATGCTTCTAGTGCTGCTCTTTCGAAACTCGAAACTACATGGACATAACTTTGCACAAATGAATAGCTCCGCGGTATCTTATCTTGCTCTAACCCCATTTCAATAGCAAGAAGGAGGTTGGCAGCATTGCGTACAAGATATTACAAGCACAGCTTCAAATCTGTGAGCTGCTTGGCTCGGCTCAAATTAGCTCGAAGCCCAAGCGCTGGAAGATCAAGACTTCAAGACTCTGTCAGTCGCAGTATCTACCTTCCGGAGTGGATTTCGGACCTTGGATGCAGCCAAGAGAGGTGAGATTACAAGTGGCCACTAGCACATAAAAGACAGCCCATAACTAGATTGACATTGATGTACCCAGCCAAGTTGAGGGGGACTTGCCTGCCGGGGCACACCTTGCTGGCGGCGTCTGCAGCCTAAGCAGAGATGTGCTAAGCCCTCTTTCGAACGTTTGGTGAAGTGCGCAGAGGTCTTGCCCAACCCACGAGACAGCAAGCCAATGCGCCCTCAAAGAAGTTTTCATGATGTTACCTGCTTCCGCTTCGTATACAATATACTAAGTCGGCACGAATGACAGGCCTCCAGCTGGGCAGCTTCCTCGCACCGATACATGACAAGAATGTTCTCGTGTTGAGGCATTCTGCGAAATTGTTGAACTGGCCGCTGGGCACGGCATATTGCTGGACAGCGTCGGACTCCAAGCACTGCGACACAGATGCCTGAGCCCTCGAGAGCATGTGTTGCCGTCTTGCCCGTCCTTGGCAAAGGATGCAGCGTTTTCATCGAGGCGCGCCAGAACAGCGTCGAGGCCTCGCTGTGCAAAGATCGGGCAAGCATCTCCCATCAACGTGATCTGGGGTCAAGGCCTTCTGGCCGAACTTCGGAGACTCCGGCGTCTTTACACCGTACCAGGAACTCCTTCAGGAGGTTAAAGATACACTTCACCTGGCAGATCTCAGCGCCCGATGGTGTTTTCGGTGCAAACAGTCGGATGCATCTGCTATAGTAGTGCAGTACCGTGCAAACGCATGTTCGCAAGCGCAAGTTCAGTGGAAGTACAGTAGTCTTCCTGATCATGCCGGCGACGCCCAGTTGATGAAGCCCACAGAGGACTTGGGAATGCTGTTTGTTCTGCCTTGCAGCCACGGACATGGGCCAGCTTTCAACTCTCATGCAGCTTTGCTGCAAGGCGCAGTGCAAACGACAAGACGTGGCTTTGCGTTTGGGAGGAACAATACCATGCCAGGTCCAACACTGGCAACATCGGACTTCCGGAAGTACAATGCAGCAAGCTGCGGTCATGCAGAGGGTTGGGCTTGCCACCAGCAGACAACACCTGCCCGGAATAGCAAACGACATGTCAGCAGGGCATGGACAGCTTCTATAGGTGAATTCCGAGACCGAGACTCGGCTGCTGAAAGCCCGCCTGATCACCCTCTGCGTAAAACTCCTTCAGGGCGGCATTTGCCGCTCCGTCAGAGGACGCATCAGCCCTGGAATGCCCATGACACAGGGCAGCTCCTGGTAGACCTGGCTGTTCCACGCCTTTGCTGTAGCCAGTGGTCTAGTTGGGTTGCTGACATCGCCGGCCTTCATGAATGCAATTCCGCTGATCGGGCATAACTTCGTCAAGTGTCGTCTAATTCCGATGTTTGGTTGCGGGCTTCTCACTCTGTGCTCCTCAACTGCGATCAGGCCTTGAGAAGAAGCTGGAGAAGAAGTTGTCCTCGCAGTTGCACAGGACACATGGACTCCGGGAGTGCTGCCTTCATGCCATTACGGTTGACTCTTTTAGCCAGGGTGAGGATGGCCTCTGACACACTTGCAGTTGGCACGTTGGCAGTTTTGCCGGACCCGGACCTAATCAGTATCGCTGTCGGCTGTGGTGCACAGCATTTCCAAAGTACCGAGAGAAACTGGGAGCGATGGTGTGGACGATCGGGTTTTGATCAAGACGCGACGGGCATCTTGTATTCAGATTGTCTTGGGGTTTGCATGGCGTTGCTCAGATGCAGAATTTTCGCGACAGCCCAGGGCTACGCTTACGACGACGGACGACATCCGCTTGTGTGTCCTTGGCGGCTGGCCTGTGTCCATCACTGCACTCACTACACTCGCAATCATTATTCACCATTCTCCAGGGCTTCACCGGATGCAGATCTCGAGCTAACTTCGTTCCGGGAAGGCCATGCAAAACATGGATGCCAGCTCCTTGCACGCTCTCGAGCGAGAAGAAGGCAGCCACAGCTTCTTCTGTCACTGCTGCCTGTCGCGCAGTCTTGACAGAGCCCAACAACCAGAAGCCTTTCCTGCAGCATTGCTGCCTAAGAGTGTGCTGTCTTCTTTGATGGTCTTCTCGGACCGAGGCCTCCATCTCAGCGCTGAAGGAGTCTACGATCTGCTGATGCCTCGCAATCATGGCGAGATTCATGCCAAATGGGGCATTGCAAGCGTTTTCAGACAGACCTTCTTGGCGAGTGGACATGCATATCATATCTATCTGCTCCCCGCGGCCTTGCCAAATCTGTCCCGTGGATAGTCGCCCTCACGACATCTCGAAGCAGGACAGGGGCTGGCGACAAGCGCAGGCGCCGCTCCTGGATAAGGCAAGGGTGAGTACCGTCGCATCGCATTGTGCCGCTCCAGAGCTCTTGAGGCAGTCCTCGAGGAGCGCGGTCGCGCGCCGAGCGGAGTGGCTCTCCATGGGGCCGACGCCATCCTCCACCTCCTCGCTGGCACAGCTCCGGGCTGCGAACTGCACACCCGACCAAGCGCCTCCACATACGCGTGGCCAAGGCTGACGAGGAAGGCATTCGTAGTGCCGGTGTGATCTACATCCTTCCGCAACGTTCAGGTGGCAAGAGGGATCCAGAACCGCACAACAACCAACAGACTGTCCGAAAGTGCAACGACTCTGCAACGACAAGCAGGAACTGCTCTGCCACATGCCATCGCATCGCAGAGCTCATACTATCAATGCGACTTTTCCATCAATTGAACCCTCGTATGTCAAAGCTGTGGCACATGCGCTGCGCCAGCAAGAAACAGCGCCGCGCGGGACTCCGGCGAAAGCACCTGGTCCTTGCAGGCCACATCCCATCCGTTTCAAACAGACTGTGCATGCTGCATTCCAGAAGCTGTGACAAACGCATCAGACACATGAAATCGGCGAGCATTTCCTGTCTGCTTCAATCTGCCAAGCGTCCAAGCCGGTTTCTTCCAGCAGTGTCACTAGAAACCTGAGAATCTGGTTGAAAAGCTAGAGTGACTACACTCAAGCAGATGGCGTCTGGCACGCAGGCATGGCACAAAGATGCACAAGGCATGCCTGCTTTCAATATTTTTAACTATCCTGTGTCATCGAGGCCACTCCAGAACCTACAAGGGAAGAGTTCCGTGTTGTCCGACTCAGCATCGGGCTGAAGGATATCAACGACGTGGCTTGGGCCGTGGTACGGATTGGATGGCCTTGGTTCAGTATACCGAGGGGTGGATGTATCGATCCCACTTGAGAACTCACGTCCAAACCAGGAGTGGAACATGTCTCAAGGAAATAGCTAGGGCACGGCATGGCTTGGAGGCAGTCATCCAGGTAAGCTTGCACGCTGCTCGCAGGCACCTCTCTGCAAGGATGTTCTTAGCTGACCTAGCTGGGTATCCATTCCAATCTTTCTGAACGTCCCACTACAGACATGTGCTCCCAAGTTCCTGCCCGCGCATAGTGCACCACACTACGCTCTTTCAAGCCCCTGCGCAAGTCCACCTGCAGTGCTTTGGCCACTTCGAGCCTTGGGACGTGAACGGCTTGGGTTCTGCCATGGTGAGCCGGTTACTTCATGTTTCGCCTCTTACGAATCAAGATGAACTGGCCACCGTTGTTGGGAAACATGGGGGCACTTTGCCCGAACACTGAGCATCCTCTTCAATCCCTTTCCAGGCAGCCTCTCTGCCAGTTCGGTGAGGACTCGTTCTCTCTCCGTGCTGGACAGCGAGAGGGCGTCGAAGCTGTACGAAGCCTCGGGCATGGTCTGCCAATCCTTACAGCCTTACGCGAAGACTAGTTCCTAGTTCGTCGGATGTTACCGGATTTGCCGCTTTCATTATAAGTTATAAGTGCAAGTTCCAGAGATTCATAGAACAGCGTGAAGAACGATGAAGATTCGACATAAGCCTGTGAACATATCCTGGCCAAGGAACGGCTGTCACATCCTGGGATGCCTGTCAACGCTGAGTCTGCTGAGTCAGTCCGGCTCATTTCCACAATAGAAAGTATCGTTTCGCAAATTATGCCTCGCCTGAACCCAGCTGCTAGCATGCTAACTGCCTTCTTAACTAGTCGAAGCATGCTCGAGACTCGACAACCAAGCGGAGCCCCGTGCTCCTGACGTGCGACGGTCACGGTCTGCTGGAAGCCAGCTCGGCCTGCACTGAGGATTCTGAGTCAAAGGATGAGGAAGAGAGCAGTCGCTCCTTGGACGAAGTTGCGACTGTAGTCTGCCGCCAGGAGGATGCATAGCAAGATCTTAGCACAACAGCGCCAGTCTGCAAATACAGCGAAGCAAATGCCCAACGCACCCCGCGATCAAACTTAACTCGTTCTAAGGTAGAGTAACATGCCCTGCTTTGCCACGTCGCCACCGCAGGAGCGCAGGGCGCATGGCGCTGCTGGCCACGACGCATGATTGGCTCGGACAGGAAAGCAACTTGATAACTGCTCCAACTATTTACCTCAAGCGTGTTTCATGGTGCGGTCAGGGAGGGTTGGATGCGTATTTTCCAGCGTTTTCGGCCACGTGGGTCATGCAAGTGCATTGTGTCCGTGCCACAGCATCTGTATCGACTGCTCGTAAATCTGGCATGCCCTTCCCGTCTTCCCATTTCCTACCTCTTCTCCACTGGGAGAGGGTTCCTGGAAATGTCAGCTGCGGAAACAACTTCTGCAGTTGTACCTGTGTGGCACGGCAACCAAACCTTTGGAGAAAGGATCTCGACAGAAGATCGAGCTGCCGGCTTGTGGAACGGGTGCATACCTGGCGCTTCGCAGCTTGAACATGTGAACAGGACGGTTCAACAGCATGGCAATGTCACAATCACTGGAGCTGACGTGCTCGCCAAGGGTAAGTTCTTACAAAGCCGGCCGCGGCACCATGCTCTGAAAAATCAACAGGAGTAACCCGAACATACCCGAACTACCTGCGCGAAATCCGTGAACCAAGTACATCCTCCAGCAATCCCTGATCGGGTCTTTGCCTTGGATGTGGATAGATCATCGGCCGGGTCTGCAGCATGTGTGCAGCTGCGATGTGTAACGGCAAGTGGGATGAGCTGACGGGTCGATCGGTCAAATGATGGGCTAAGACACTTTCACGAAGCACTGGCCGTGAAGTACATGGGAAGTAAACGGAACCCGCCTCGGATGCACGTGCGAGCTGCGCAGAAAAGTGCCTTTTACGCTGTTTACCCTTCTGTTCGCCTGGCTGGCAGATTGTTATTGTTGGGATCTTGCTTCTGTTGCGGATTCTGGACGCGTCGGGCAGGCTCTATGTGCTTGATAGATTAACAAATGGACTATATAATTGATTTTAATTGAGCGCAAATGGCTGCCAGTTCGTGAACTTGCGACATGGGCAAGCGAAACCCAACCTGTCAATGCTTGTTGGCAGCCGGCACTCGAAACCGTTGATCCCTGGCTCGCGCAGTGGCGCAGTGATGAGCATCGTCATGTAGCATTTTCGGGCACGCAGCTAGCAAGCTTCAGTCGCCCTTTAAAGGCAACCAGCTTTATTGAGAATCTCGTGCCACCACATGACGTCACTGGGCTACAACGTCGTTCGGTGCTAACGTGCGGCTTGAGAGTCTTTGGCGTTGCTGGCTGGTGTGAAACAATATTGACTTTCGGGAAGAGCTCCCTCCGGGGCTCGCTTCCACATTCTGTTACCACTTTCCCTATCTACATGGAGCGCAAGACAACGGTTGGCCCCAGCCATGTCGCGCTCCGGATTACCGGACGTAAGCTTCAGCGTCCGGCTCCCGCTCGACTGAACCTTATGCAACAGCGATGCTAGGCTGACTTTTGTCAAGTAGTTGGTCAACAACTTTATTTCTTATGGGTTGCAGGAGCTGCTGCCTTTTAGCGGATCTTGCAGGAGGGGGTGATCGCTCTTGGACCGGAAACGGACGGTTCGACACACTAGAAATGTCGCATCTACGACGGCGCATTGATCATGACGTTGGCACGTGACAGTGAGTCCGCTGCACTTATGTACAACCGGAATCTTTTCGCAGCGTTCAAGAAGCTCCTCAGAGTCCTATTTTAACTTTCCAGTTTGAAGTTCGAGGTGTGCTCGCAAGAGTCACGCACAGAGTCCCATTCGGCCGCCCAGCAAAACTCGCAAACAGAAGAAAGCAAACTATGCATCTGTTTTGCGGTTTGTGGGCGTGTGGCTGCTTCACCAGTGTGCAAACTGTTCTCGGTCGTGCGGCCACTTTCAAAAGGGATTGGGCAACAGCCAGCTGTCGAGTGTGTGAGTTAGGCGTTGAGCTGATACAGTCGCCGCTTCAACTGCAATCAGCCTGTTGTTTACACCCATCACTTGAGAGCAGGGCTACGAAAGCTAGAAGCAGGACGGCGGAGGCTTGTGATAAGTGGTAGCAACTCTAAAAAATTTACAAACGGCTATGAGTAACAACAAATCCAAACTCTACAAACGGCTATGCTTGCAAGCATGGCCTTCGAGGGGGGGGGAGGGGGGGGTCCTGCAACGGGGGGGAGGGAGACCCCCTCCTTAAATCGATACGTGCGTGAGGACACCCTTCATTCAAGCAAACAAGGGAGGGGGGGTGGCCCCCCACCCCCCTCCCAACACCGAAATCCCTTGGAAAGCTGCCTTTTAAGGCCATTGCACCCATGGAATACCTAGGAAGAAATTTGTGAACGACAACTCCCGCAAGCTCCAAAGAGCTAGCTTTCGCGATTTGTCGTTTGAATGGAGCGATTTTGTACACCAACCTGCGGCATGTAGGCAGACTCGGACATGCTGTGTAGAAGAGACGGGAAAGCTCTGGGTGTGTGTGTGTGTGTGTGAAACCCTGAAGTAAGAGCAGGGGGGCATCCCTATCACCTGAGCCGGATGCCAAACGAAGAGGGCTCAGGATGATAGCTGATACACTTGGAGAGGTCCAACTGCGCACCTGCAAAGATGGTATAGGCCACGATTGTAGGAACACGTGCTAACTTGTTTGGCTTCGGTCATTCGACGGTCAAACCAAGTGTGTGGGTGTGTGTATGTGTCGTGCTTTCTCTGTTGTATTGGGTCTGGGCGACTATGCGCTTTAGAGACTTCTTGTGTCTGGCATGCTTTCGAGGCAAGCGTCCGTGCTTTGGCGCTGTAGCACCTGTACTGTACAACTGGAAGCTAGCAGGGAATCTCCGGGCCGGGGCCGTAACAAGTTCTCTCCCGGGAGCTCGGCACTGTGCAAAAGGCACTGACAAGGCAAACGAAACGCAGGTGCCGCAAAGTAACGGGTCATGGTGCATGGTGGCCATGTAGTTATCAGCGTACATAGTAATGTCGCAGAACCTTGGCACGAGCAAAGGTAAGCACCGCTTTTGTGCAGGCTACGCATACGTAGAGTCTGTCTCAGACAGTGCTCAAAAAGCAGATGCACGAAGAAAAGCCAGCTTTCGGCCAGCCACGTCTTCGGTCTGTAGAACCTGCAGGACTTGAGAAGAGGCCGATCATAGCCCGTTTCAGAGTAACCCAATAACTTGCACAGAGCCGCGCAGCAATCCGAAACCATCAACCTTTCATAGCGTCAGGTTGCCTGTTGTTGTTCAGCTGCTTGAGCCGTTTATCCGGTGGAGCTTCGGGAAGCCGCCGATCGAGGCCTAAGAAGCTGATGTCAGGTGCTCAAGGAGCCCTGGCTCCTGTGCAGTTCTTGTACTTCCAGCTTGCAGGTGCGCTTTCATGTCTGGGCCCAAAGCTGGGCATCGACTCGCTGCGCGGCCTGTCTTGTTTCACGCAGGCTGGCCGGCTGGCCGGCTGGCAGGAAATTTCCGTTTCTGCGATAGTTGGCTTAGAATCTTAGAAGCGTGGAGCGTCTGGAAGTCGCAGTCTGGTGCCAGGCTCCGGTCAGAACAGCTGGGCGCCCGTGCGGTGGGCAAATGCCAAGGGCCTCTGCCTCCGGATACCTGTCAAAGGAACAGCGCGCATGCTGTTGACTGGTGGTCATAAGCAACGTGCATCTGCACGCAGAAGGAGGGTCCGAACCAAGGGAAAGAGAAGTGGCGGCATCAATAGCAGCAGCGGAGCAGAGAGAGAACACAGTTGTGAAGATGTGGCTTCCCCTTCCATGCGAGGCACCAAACCCCTGTGAATCGAACCCGTGGTGATGATCGCCTCTTCCTGACTTTCATCGCTTCGACTGCCTGGGCACCTCAGCCAATCCAAGGGCGACGTCTCTGCGAATCGCTCCCGGCACAGCTACTGCAGCCCCGCTCTTGTTGCAATCCACGAGGCAACACAAGTACACAAGTCCTCATACAGGTGCATTTGAAACCTATGGGTGCATCTCAGGTAGTAGCTGCTTCGAGTTGCAATGAGCCAGCCAATCTCCTGGAGGCTGCAGGAAAGTAAAATCAGCAACCACAGACAGGCTGTTGGCTGCGATCGAGACAGCGATGCCGTGAACCGAATGCATCAACCCGTTGCCTGCGCCCGTGTACACGGCACGTCCCACTTCTGGCACGGCATCTGGCAAGCAAGTGTACTTGCAAAACGCACGACAGCAACATGAGCTGACAACTAGATCAACGAGGAACGAACCAGGATCGTGCAGGCATGCAAACTGAGCCACGCAGAATGCACGAAGCACAGCGGTTCCGCACAGCACTTCGAAAAAAGCGAGCCATCAAGGCCTTTTTGGTGTGCATGAGGGCATTGTGGTCAAAGCTATTTGGATCACAGTTCTCCCCGGACCTTGCACGCCGAAGACGTAGATGCACCGAAACAAAACGTATACTGATTGAAGCATGGAAGATCATGGAAGATGATGGAAGTCATGAAGGTCATGATCCAGATGAGGTCACCTCGGTCTCGCCGCCGCCCAATGTGTTTGCTTTCGCGTTGGGCATAGCAGCAAGCTCTTGGAACCGCTGTGCATTTTCAATCTCTCAAGCTCCTCTCAGCCTCGGACATGATGGCCTGGGGAGTGTTCTTCTCCACCTGACAATGTGCAAGCATGAGCTGATGAAGTGCACAGCATCAGGCTATATCAACCTACTTGCATCCGGTGGCCTTGGGAGCTAGGATTTCCAAGCGGCTGTGACCTCGCAGGTCACGCACAGCATGACGGCAAGAATGGAGGGATTGTTGCCCACCACCTCACCCGATTAGATACCTCGCCTTTCACACGAAACTCGATGCACAGAAGCACCAGGAACGGGAAAATCACAGTCACACGCCGTGACCTGAATGCAACCGAGAATCGCATTTTGAGTGCCTTCAAAGCGGACAACGGTTGCAGGAGCTTGTCAGACATACAGCAACTCGAGTTGGCAAGTTTCTTGAAGCAATCTTGTCTGGCCCAGCGATCGCTTAATGCTGTCCAAGCTTCCAAGGGGTCGCCCAGGCGCTGAGCGTTGGCCAAGTTCATGACCTAAGCTGCCACATCTGGCAAAATCCTGGGAACTGGGTCGGTGACAACTCGAATCGCCCCTGCTGCTCCAGTACACAATAGTCCACCAGCAAAGTCAGAGAGATGGAAAACCCATGCGTGGCGCTGCGGCTTCCGTTGCACGTCGTAGGCATCTCGCGTATGCAGGCGGACCAGGATTGGCTTTCCGACCCTTACATCTTTCAAAGGAAAGCACGACGATAAGCACGTTTAATGTCAGTGCCTCCTGAAACAGCCTGGTCTCCTTCTCCAAGGTTTCCTGTCATGATCTCTCTCTGCACGTATTTCCCATCGCAGAAGACATGTCCTTCCAAATGCACTCGGCCGAGACGCGGTCGACATAATGTGGGATGCCTGACTTGACGTGTCAAGACATCCATGTCTTGATTTCCCAAGGACTCACTGTCCCGACTTGGCGGCCTGACTACTGTGCCATCGGTACACTCGGGACTTGGACTATCCCACGGCAAGACGGTAGACTTTGGATGTAAAGTAAGTAGCGAACATCTCTGGAAGCTCAAACTACTGCTAGACCAGCAATGCAAACATGTTAAACATGCTACTCCAGAAGAACATCCCGGCCCTGTCCATCTTGCCTGGCAGCATGCCTCGCGCTGTTGATGTGGGCTTTGATGGGTCCGCCATCGCGACAGCCTCGCCAACCTCCACGCATACGGCTTTCGTGGCTTCGCACATTGGGCTTGCGAGAATGCTGCAGGCTAGATTTTGCAACAAGACCATGTCCGCGCCTGCAAAGACACGGTTGGCAGAGGTAGCTTGAGCCCAAGGGGCCCTGAAGGGACGGGAGCTGCATTCCGGCTTTTGGAGCTTTTTGTGTTCTTTCACATCGCATGGACACCCTTCCCTCAACTAGATTCCACAAGCTACTCGAGAGGCCAGACATGTTTAGGACAAAATTCACCGCAGCAAGACCGCGCACCGACTTCCACAATCTGCCGGGCTGGGAGTCTTTTCTACCTTCGCTATACACTGGCCGCAAGCCTGTCCACGGTGCAGAGCTAAAGAGTCGGACAATGCAGAAGCATTCAAACAATACCTCTTCACCTAACGGGTCCGCCACACATGGTCAGCCCAAAACCGAGCCGCTGGTCTGAAGCCTTGCGCTGCAAGGATGCTGGCCGCACATGGATGTCATGGATACGCGTGCCTCTGCCGCTTGCGGGAGAAGGTAGTGGAACTGATACTTCCGCCACATGGAATCCTGACGGAGCTCTGCAGCTTCGTGCCGCCTTCAACTCACAGCTGGTTGCTATACAAGGAGAATTTTCCAGAAAGGAAATTCTTCCCACACGCCCGCATTGATTGTTCCGTGAGTCGTCTGAATCAGTGATGCTTGCATGTTCCATGGCTCACTACCCAAATAACTCAGAACAGCACACTCACGTTTGCGCAAGCGATCGACACATCAGACATACTCGCCACAGATTTACATGGACTGCGCAGGGAAGGATCGAACATCCGTAGGCCTCCTCTCCAGCGGATTGTCGACATGACATGATCAAATCAAACAAGTCTAAGGCCTTAATGTAAGCCGACCGATCGAAAATCCGGAATGTGATGGCTCTGGCCAAAATGCCGTCACCCGGAGACCTTACTGATGCAAGCTTGGCCCACACCCTCCACCAGACCTACGCGTGCTCGCAAGACCGAAACCAGCCGATAGCAGAGCAAACAATCGAAAAGCCTGCCTCTGCATCTGGAAATCGAGAGGGTTGCTATCAAGGTCTTGGCCACCCTCCGTGGCCTCTCGACGCACGCAGCGGCACATGCACTGTCAAGGTATATGCTATGGGCAACTGGGCCACGAGAAAAAATTGCAACAGTCATCTGCGTAAATTGCTAGATGTAGATTTGGGCAGGACAGCCCCCCACCACTTGATGACATTCAGATGTTGAAACCGAAAGAACCGTGCGGCTCCTGCAGTACGAGTTGTGCTGGCCTCAATCAGCTCACGCATGAGTCGCCCCACGACACCAGCATTTTTGAACTGGTTACCGCTGGTACCGATGGCCATGTAGAAGCCTGCACAGCTCATGCAACTGGCCCGAGCCCTGGACTGCTCCGCTGCATAAACTTCCGGCCTGGCAAGGAAGACTTGTCGTAGATGGGAACCCAATCCTGCCCAGGGATGGCAGTAGAAGTGCGAAAACGTGCAGGGACGTGCTGGGGGGGGGGGGGAACCTCGGTGACGTCGTAGCAGGCGCTGCAGCCCTGGAGATGGGAGAACGTGACGGGACCGGGAGTCACAACATGTGACAACGGTGACTTCCGACCTGCGCACTTTGGGAGTCGGGTAGATTCAGCGATGGCATCCGCAAGGCCAGGCGGTACACCTCACGAGGTTGTCTGTAGACGGGCAGCCGAACATCCTAGATCAGCACTCTGGGTCGCCTGGTTGGTCCACTGGTCTGTCAAAGTGGACAACTCTCTGCCAGGATAGACTGCCTGCAATAGCTATGCCGCGTCTTCTAAAGTCCATGCAGTATCGTGTGCTGGACTTTGCACAGCTGATGGTACCGGCTGCTTCCTATGACTTGAGAGTGCAAGCGCGAATGCCACTTGGACAACTTCGCGACCTCGGGATCCTCAGGGTAGATGTGGTAGTCCTTCCGACAGCCCCGTCGATCGTAGCGTTGCAGACGAATGGTGCAGTAAGGCGGCACCTCATCGCACTGCGGCTCGACGCTGCCAACAAGGATTTTGCCACCCACCTCGGGCCTGGCCGGGCTTCGAAGATAGTGCACATGGAGAAAGATTTATGCACGCAAGACACAGGGGCAGACATGCTTAAAGTTAGAACGACAGAGCGACAAACAGGTTCAGAAAAACACAGACTCTCCAACAAAAACACCTGCTTTTTGCCTTGACATGGATGCGCGCAAACAGACCAGAGAACAAGCATGCTTACAAACATACTTACGAACATGCATACATGCGTACCTACCTACGTACGTACATACATATGCATGCATATGTATATGCATACATATATATATATATATATATACAGAACGGGGTTGTATATATGTGTTCAATAAGCATAGTTCATAGTGTATTATGGAGACGCACACACACACACACACACACTTGCACATGGGGGCTACCTGGACCTTCAACGGGATCTGTGAGCAGCCAGTGCCTGAAGTACACCCCCACGTCCAGGTCGGTGCATATCAAGCCTGAACGCATTCGTAGGGATCAGAGTCGAGAAGCACGACCCTTCCCAAACCAAAGCTGGACTGCTGGCAATGCCACTGCATGCTCCTCAAGATCAGAGCAGGCATGGGCCGCAAGCCCATTCGCGAGCGGCAAAATTGATTTCTGAAAAGCGTCAGTCGACACGCTCAGAAAGATCATTTTTCAAGCAGCTGCTAGTAGGCGCATTTCGTTAAGTCATGCAGTATAATGCTTCGTCAAGCGTGCTGGTGATGTTAACGCACCGAATGCGTTACGGCTGTTCCGGTCTGTAGGGTTCGATGGGCAGGTTGCAGCCTTTGTAGGACCACTGACATTTCTACTTCTCACAGCGGATCCCTTGCTTCAACGTTGCAGAGCCTGAAGATGTGTTGCTCAATCTGGGTGTCCGCATGGTGCAAGGAAATTCGCACACTTTGACATTCACAGCGAGGAGCAAAGCAGGCCTGGGCCATCCTCGTCCCAGGAGATGCCGGGTGGGGGATTGACGTATGCAACCTCCTGTCGCACCCAGGTTTGTGGAGTGTGCTCTTCACACCTAGGTCCCAGGTGCCAAGTGCTGCAAAAGGAGGCCTGGCGCATCGGTCTGGTGCTGATGGCCATGTCATTCTCCGCCGGATCCTCGAAAGCCAGCCGGGTGACCTTCCAGAAAGGATGGCTTTCCTTTCCTGGGCGCCTGTGTGATTCGCACAGGCTTTCACTAGAATGGGCCATTTTGCGTGGCCTGCGCGGAGTGTGGGCCTGCCACATTGATGACCACCGGACTGTCAAGCTCCAAGCCGCTGGCGCAGCTGATGCCTGACGAAGCAAAACACACCAGAGAAAAGCTGGTCAAAAGATGTACGTATAAGCTTGGGAGCGACAAGCTCTTTCGACCTGGCAGCGGTTAAGTAGTTGGGCTTCAACGAGGTATTTCCCGTTCGCTACCAGCTCTGGGCCTCTAAACCTCCAAGGAATGTTGCTTGGGCCAGTCGAACTGTTGCTTGTGCTCTTGTCGTCGTCCCAACCCACCTCGTCCGCATCTACGTTGCAAAAGATGTCTGGACCCCCTGCTTTGTCCAGGTTTTCTCGGAGTCTTGGCGCTGTTTGACCCCCTTCGCTGTGTTTCAGCCATCTCTTTGTGATCTGAAACGCCCGTTCGAAAGTCACGTGCCCATCCCCGACGGGTGCTGACAGATGACACTACCCAACACAGGCAACGACTCAGCACCTATGTTTCCGAACTGAGCTCTCGTTTGCCTGTCATGTCTGGCTACACCGGCTTTTGATAGCTTCTGTGAGCTCCTCCACGAGGTCAGGTTGGTCAGCAGTTTATCGGTCGGGGTGTATGGCAAGCAGACGAAGCAAAATTGCAGTTACATGAACACAGTAAGGGGAAACAGCTCACTTGTCGTTGATCTGAGCTCTGGCAACTCATCGCCTTGAAGCACCTAGGAAGCAAAGCACTCTTGTCCAAGGACTCTTGTGCTGCCTGGTTTCTGGCCGACGTCTGCAAGCACCGGGATTTCAGGCGAACAGCAGAGGCACGGGGTAACAACACGCCAAGGGGGCACTATCATTCTTGCTGGCGCCTGCCAGTTGCGTCCAGGATGAATGCAATAGCAGGTGTCTTACCCTTTCGGGGTCGCTGTCTTCATGGCGTCTCTGCTGTACTGCAAAACGGGAACACCAATTGTATGTTTTGTGCTACCTACTGGGTGTCAGCGTTGTGCATATTTTAGTCCAACCTAATGACATATAAATGATTGGAATCAAATCTTTGTTTAGAGTATTTTTTTACTACAGGCTCGATTCTGCTCGGATCTGCTTCGAATTGCTTGGCTCGGGGCGCTTGGGCCGGGAGCAGTCCCTCTCTCTCTCAGAGGCGGAGGCTCCCCAAGGCCTAGCATGGCCCACACTTGTCGTGGGCGCCCGTGGGCTTCGTTGTTCTTCTCTCTTCTCGTCTCTCTTTCTCGCTTTTGCGGCCCAGCTGGTCTCTTTGCTTTGTCCAGCTGCCGAAGTGCGAAGGGCTGAAGAAAGGAGCGCTTTCTCCAATTGGCAAAGGAACGGGCCACCTATGCTGTTGCTCTCTTGTGGAATCACTCCTTGCGGGGTGTCGGTTGTATCCGATCGCTTGTCACCGTTGCGACTTGCTCTGCAGTGCACAGGCCTATTGCAAAACCTCCAAGAATCATCGGTGTCGGCTGCAAAACTTGGAATAATTCACCAACCTGTGGGCCTCGTACTCAGGACGTGGCAGCATCCGCTGACAGCCCTAGTGCTCTGGTTCCCCGCCATTGGCTTCAAACATGGGAGGTTGCTCACGATCAGGCCAAGGGACGTTCCCGGCACCGCCCATGAAAGCAAAGCCTCCGAGTGCCGTTTCAAGGGGGAGTCAGCCCCGCACTCCTCGTCGAAGATCACACCTCACCTCCTGATAGTTCCCGCGGCGCGATTGCTGCACCCTAGTGAGGGCAAGTGTGGCCCCATCAAGCCGGGGTCCGGGACATCGAGATCGTAGCTTGCTCTCTTCTTCTTGTTCTTCTTCGGTCTGTGTCTTTGCGTTTGTGACGAAGTAAGTGTGAAGCAACAGCTGGTCAAAGAGCAGCGACTGGCCGCAATGGGCACCTGCAACTCGTCCGCCGACCCGGCGGATGGCGGTCACCGTCTCACCTCCGAGCCGAAGTCAGAAATCCGTACAGGGTCTGTGGACGGGGCAACTGAGACCCGAGCCGAACCGGAATTCTGCGCGCCCCGTTGCCTGCACGACAGTTATACGTTAGAAGTGTCCGAAGGAAAAGTCGCCGGCGTGGGAGAAAACCCAGAGACAGCTGGACAATGCGCTCAACCGCATGCTCCGGCCTCGGCTGCGGTCTGCAGGTTTCGAGCCGCAAGCATCGGGTCGCTGACGTAGCCTCGCTTTGCTAAGGACGCTGTACTTTTCCTGTGGGCTCGAAAAGCACTTTGACCAGAGCGCACCTGCCATGGGGAAAAACACTCCACCTGAAACGTGCTTTCCTCTGGGTTCGCCGAAAGCATCATCATCAATGCGCACCTTCGAGGCAGCCATCACTGGCTCCACAGCAACTGCAGCCCGACAGATGAAGCTGTATCTGACTCGTAGTTCTTCCGAGTCCTTCACATACAAGGCTAAAGTGGCTAAAGGGGGGGTGCCTGCCCCGGGCCCATTTTTGTTTCTCGCTGCTCTCCTTTGTAAGTGTTTGTCTGGGGGCAGCCCGAGTGCAGACCAGGAGGCAGATCTCCAGAAAGCAACACTACATGGTAAGGATCACGTCAACGCCAAGCACAGCAAGCTTGCTTCTGAACACGAGTCTGAAACCCGTCCCTGCCGTATGGTACTATTTTCTGAAGATCGCTTCGAACACCCTGCCTGGGGGCCATAGCTCTGGAGATCAAAGTTCAGCCTCCTCATCACTTCTGGTGCCTGCACAGCCAGATCACAGCAAGCTTCTGTCGGCGGCTTACAGGCACAGTCGCGAGTTGAAACTTGGAGTTTAGCCAAACTTCTGCCTCCCAGTTCTCGTATGGCAGCCCGACGGCGTCGTGGCTTGCAATCTTGCATGTGGCAGGCTGGGCGAATGCTGGACTGTCTCATCTCTCTAAGAGCACAACCAACAAGCACTGCAAGTGCTGAGACACACAGGCTGTGACCGTGTACCCTCTAAGAACTTTCAATCAGATCCAAGCAAATGGCCACTCGGTCGAGGAACTGCTGCGAAGCCTAGCAGCTTAGCAAGAGCGGCTGCCTTGACCCCCGCATTTGAAGCTTGCTTCTGTGCGGACTCCGTCCTCCGACCGCAGGACTAAGGCACCGCAGCGTCGAAGTCGGGCGAGCCCATGAGGATCCTGCCGCGGCCCGGACCCCCCGGACCCCGGCCGCCCCGGCCCCGTCTCGTCGGAGTTTCAGCGTCGAGTTTCGCAGCTCAACAGCTGCCAGAAGAGCGGATTACACAAGTTTGCTCGTCGCTGGCCTGTTAAGGGTTGAAGAGCTTCGGTGTATCGGTGCGGCCATTGATGGTGTATGTTGCCTGAAGTTCCTGCTGCCTCAAATGATCACGTTGAGCTACTGTAAGCCGAGGTCCGCTCGATTCTACGATCAAACGAAGCTGCATCATGCCATTTTCGCTCACATCGCACGCTGAGCGACTGCAAGCCACGCATTCGTGCACTGCACTGGCAATCCACTGATGCAAGCGGGGACTGTACACCAATGCAATTGAGCATGGACAATCCGAGAATACGAAGGGAAGCTTTCCCCAAACTGCACGATGTCCATTCCTGAAGGAAGAACAGGGTGGACTGCTCGAGTTCTAGTGACGCAAGGAGGGAACCTCACGCCGGTGCCAAGCGTCTGACTGTATCCTTCCTTCCTGTTTTCTTTCGCACAAGGAGTCAGTCACACTGGTGGCACGCAAAAACACACACATCATCTCCACATGAACCCGCAATGTCTGTCAGGTACAGGGCTGGTCTTTTCTGCTGACCTATTGAGCTCTGGCGCTGGCTGTGCCCGTGGAGACAGTCCAGGCTAGTGCTGATGCTGCAGCGGGCTCGACAGCACCAGGTCTGAGCGAAGCGTCACAAAGGTGCAACGGGCATGTCTTCTGCCAATTCATCTCCGTCCCCATCCAAGTCACCTTGGACATTGCACATGTTTCGACTCGGTGCAGTAACTCCTCTAATCCTTGCCCGCTACTGTCCCACTAGCCGATCTTGCCTGCTTCCTGCCAAATCTCCGGGTCGAATCTCTGAAGCCAGGCATATGCCATGGTGGACATGTGAGCGGACACCTCAGATGTCTACAGTGCAGTCAGCAGTGAGCTAGGTGCATGCCTTTTTGCTGGGATACTGCTTGAGCATGGTGTTTGTCTCCGCCGAAGTATAAAATACAAACTTTAACCCTTCCAGCTTAAACCAGGCCACTTCCTCGTCGGAATCGTCTGTGAGCTTCTGCCCACGTTTATCCTTAACCTCAGCCAGACCACTCAACTCCATGTGACTATTTAGAAACGGCATACATCACAAAGAAGCAACAGCGCAGCCCGGCCGCCGCAGTGTACGTGCGTGCAATGCAGCGGACAGAACCATCTGTTACGCGGCACCTGTGCAGCAAGACACGCAAAAGTCTCATGTCCACAGAGCTTGCTCCACACTCAACCAAAAAGTAACTATGATGGACAGCGTGCGACAGCATGAATCCATGCAACGACACAATCAAAGCGATCTCTGAGGAGGCGCTCGACCAAGCAGTCCACGTGCCGCCGGCTGTCCAACTGAAGCCGTTCGTACTCCTCGAAAGTGTGAGATCGACGTCATTACTTAGACTCCAAGCCCCGCGGCTTAGAGCTTGAACCTAAACCGTTGCACATTTCCCTTAGCAGTCTCGGCACGCTTATCCAACAACTTGCAACATCAGCCTCGACAGACTCTCCACCCATTGCGGAGGCTGCAAGCTGTGCTGCTGGAGCGGCTGCCTGCCCGAAACAATGTCTCGTGTCCCGCCAGTTGCGCCCTGAGTTCTCTGTCGCTTTGCCTCCGAAGCTAGGAGCAGCAACGGTGGCAGGCGGCCTTGCCTGAAGTGACAAAAGTACTCAGCAATGCGGCCTTCGGCCTACCTTCGACGACAATCAGCAGAACCACCCAACACATGATCATGATGTGATGACAGTGATGATAATGATGATGATGAGAGCCAGAAGACTGATCGTAGTGCCATGTAACAGAATAGCAGCTACTATGAACAGGATGAAGATCCTGCTGCAGTCAGTAAGACAACCTGGGAGGAGGACCCCCCCCTACGGGTCCAGGCTCTGCGAGAAGTTCCCGAGGCCCTTTCTCGGGTCCCGCGACAGCACCGTCTGTGTGAAGATTGGCCGAGAGGCTCCGAAGCCCGCTGAAGTGGAGAAAAGTCCTTTCGTGGAGAGCTGCATGCTTCAGCTGCAGTGTCAGTGCTGAGATCAAGCATGCCCAAATCTCACTTGAGCATTGCTAAACAACTTGAAGGCGGCATGGAGATGTCGGGTTTCGTTACAACTCCTCATCGTCAATCGTCACTGCTCCTTCACAAATGCAGGAGGACCTTACGGCCAAATGCCAAGCACTCGGAGGCACAAGCTGGTCACATGCCTGGATGGGCCCAACGGTCTCGGGTCCAATTGCAGACCAGGCGACAAGGAGCTCAGAGCCCAGATTGCCTGCAAACGGCGTTCTGCTCAGCGAGTACCGGCACGGCGCTTGAAAACTAATGCCTTCGCACTGTTCCATGTTTCGCCTCCCGCGCCCGAACATCACGGCAGGCTGAGGCTGCAAAGAGCCGCAAGATTGTGCTGGCACCTGCCATCGAATGGCTGCACCTGTGCCTTCGCCCTTCAGCAGGCCTCTACAAACTCTCCCCCTCCGCCTCTCGCAGTCCGCCTCTCTCACTCTCCCCTCTCTCTCTCTGCCGGGGTGCAAACGACGTCCGATTTCGGTCCAAATTCCGATATTGAACCCCAAATCATGCGTCGTTTGGTTTTGGTGACTTCAGGGAAAGGGCTTCGTTCTGTGTAGCACCGACTAGATACCTGTCGTGGTTCGCAGACTTCCGTTGTAGTTCCTAAACAGCAGGGTGTGGTTCGCACTCCTGTTCGATGTTGAGTCATCTGAAATATAGAGAAAGAGGATTTGGGCATGTGGTTTCAGAAAGACTTCCATCCTTGCAATGCACGCAGGATTATCGGGTACTCTGCTCCCCCTGTGGCTCGGAGCTGACAAATGAAGATAGAACATACACCATGGTTGCCAAGGGGGTTATCGAAGCGCCACTTTCACAGGAGTGTGCGAGCATGTAGATATGGTCCTCATGGATCCCCCTGGCAGCGGACTCCAGCTCCAAGACATGTCGACGTCGAAAATGACTACACCAGCAGTCCCAGCACATGAACCATTGCAGGTTCAGCTGCTGCGTCTGGCTCTAGAACAAGATGCGCCGGAACTTTCACGCAGGAGGAAACTTCGCCGCTCTCTCGTCGAAGGGTACAGGACCCCACAAGAGAAGTTGTATCCTTCAATTACTATTTCTTTCGCAGGGCCAGAGGAAAGCCGGGTTGTGGGGCTCCTTTGGGACAGACAGCAGCCAGACAGACCAACCACGCTCAGTGTGATGTACTGAGGCTGCCACCCAAATTGCAATCGAGATCTACTCTGAGTTGGCAAACGGGCACTGAAGTCTCTGTCTTTCTTTCGCCAGGGTTGTGGTAGAGGGTTGCCCCTCTACCGCGCTTGTGCGCCCCCCCCTGTTACGGATGCCAGTTGAAAGACATGCAAAGCATACTGCGAGCCATGGACGAGCTCAAAAAGGACTGTGCCACAAGATGATCAGATGCAACATGAACGCACATGGCCAGTGCCTCTTCAATCGCGGGGTCTTCCCCGATCAGGCGTATGGTCTAATGAGATGTGCAGTTGCGCTTTCCCACTTGCAGACAACGATAAGGATAGTTCTATAGGAACTGCACAACGATCAAATCCATGCTCGCCTAACTGTTCGTCAAGGGTGTGCTTACAGGTAAATCACTCTCCAAGAATGCAAGCATGATTCAGCGGCATCAAAAGCACAGGTCACGAAGCATCATGGATGTTAAATCACCTGGTGCATCCCGTATGGAGAGAGAAGGCTCCCCTCAATTGGTCAAGGTGTGCCTTCTGCATGAATCACTGGGACAGGACTGGGAACAAGAAATGAAGTGCAAGAACATTGCGCGCTCCATGTGGTACATCTGCCGAAAGGACACTGGCAATGACGTGTATGGGGGAACGCACCCTAGCACTAAATACTCCAAAACAACGAAGCGACGATCGACAGTTGGACTTTGGCGAGTATAAGCAACTCGCAGCACACGAGAAACCCTGTCTTGCTTGCACTGGGACACAGGGCCCTGCAGCCCCAGTGTTTCTCTCTCTCTCTCTCTCTGTCTCCCTCTCTCTGTCTCTCGCCCCTTGGCTCTCACTCCCTTCCTCTCGCTGCTTTCTTTGCGTGCTTCTGTTGTTTGGGTTGTTTCATCTGTGTGTGTGTCTTTTACTTTCTTTCTGCCAGGCCATCGGTTCGCCCGTCCCTCCAGCTGGGTCAATGAGTGGACGGAATTGGGGTCCTCTCGCATAGCGGCGAAAACTACGTCATGGGCCCATGGGCTCTGAGTTTCTGTTCCGCGATCCCCGTTCCTGTACGCTAAACGCCACACTCACATCCTGGATCCCTGCCCCTATGCCAACCGTTTTGGGGACTGCAGCGGGGTATGCAAGGGCAGAGCCCCCAGTGCCGTGTTCAAGGCTGGCAGTACCAGTTTCACATAAAAATCGTGGCCCCCCTAAGCCCTAAGCCTGTGGCAGCTTCGTGTTGCCAGATTGTTTGTGCTATGCGGCTCGGCTGTTGCACCGAAGCGTCTCTCTCTGTCTCTGCAGGCGCATATTGAAAGCCCACGATTCCCTTTGTGAAAGCCGGCCTTGTCTCTGGCCGTAGAGGTGATAAGGAGGAGGAAAATTGCCTGTAAGACGGCTCCGGAAGTCGCAAAAATGAAAAGGCGTAGGCGAATGCATGGCAAGCTGCGGGATTGTAAATACGCCAAGGCTGCTAAGATGTCCGAGACCTCAGGTTCCATGAGGAGCCAACGCGAGGGCGGTCCCGGAGCTTGGAAACCCTTCCCGTGCATCTCCGGCACCCGTCTGAAGAGAGCGAGAGAGAGAGAGAGAGAGAGAGAGAGAGAGAGAGAGACAGACACGGACAGACGTGGACAGACACAGACGGACACAGACGGACACGGACAGGCAGGCAGGCAGGCAGGAGCACGCTCACAAGAGTCACGCAAGACATTTGCATGAACTGCCCTTGGCTCTTCGATCCCAGCCACTCGGCGGTCGAGTGCCTGCGATCCGGGAAGAGAGCGAAGCACGTCAGTCACTAAGCCACGGCTGTGCCAGAAAGAGTTGTGTAATCGGCCTTCCCGAGACGGTTGCACCGATCATCGAAGAAGGAATCCAAGAGCCTGGAAAGCGCAAGCGGATGCGGTGGAGACTGGAGAGCCGGCAGCTCTGCTCGGAATCTTCGCTCGGAAGGAAAACTTGGTTAAGCTTCTGCCAGGGCACACGGCTGTGAACCCGAGGCCTTGCCAAGAGAGCAATGCAGCAGACGAGCGGAACTGCAAACATTGCAACATAGAGCATTCTCCAAGGCAGTGCTTGGGAGAAGGTCGAACACGAAACTACCACAAACACCCTCCTTCACCAGCACCGGCACGGGATGTGTTTCTTGGCTGGTCATCCATCAACCCTGTTCACATCTTCTGCGGGCTGGACTTGGCGGCGGAACACTATATACGTACAATCTTCATGAATGCATGAGAAGACGAAGACGAAAGACCTTGGATTTCTTTTAAATTTCGAACGGAGTGTACAGTGTACATCGTCGATCGGCGGGCCTCGCAATGCCAATCCCAGGGCCGTGGCGCCACCAGGCGTGGCCCCGTCTCAGAGCAGGAAGGCTTGCGAAGCTTGGAGCTTTGAGGTCTTCAAGCATCCTGCTCTCCGAGAAATAACGACTGGATGGCAACGACGACCCTGAAAGTCTCGAGCCTTTGCTGTTGCCAAGCCAGTCCTCCTGACAAAAGAGGAGAGGCCAGAGGCGCCAGAGGCGCCATGATGACATGGTCACGGTCAGCTGTTGGCTGTTGGCTATACTGGTAGAAATCAACGCAGGTGCCGCAGAAACATGGGGCCTTCCACACGAGTCAGCAACGTACAGTGCACAGTATGATCGAATCCCGAGCGACAATGCAATCACGACATCATAGCTGCATCCTGAGCACGACATGATGCAGCACAACACGCTGCCATCCTAAAAGAAATCTGCACTGGCGGCCGGTCACTGCAGCGGCAGTCACAGCTCAACTGGATGGTCCTGTTCTTCACCGTGCAGAATGAGCACCGTGCCGCTGCCTGGAACCTCCCCCGAAGCGAGTCTGATGTAGCGTAATTCTAGCTAAGAGATGGGCATAGCTAGAACTTGACCCACTCGGCTGATGTACAACTGCCGGTGCCAGGGGTAATCGGATTACATGCATTCCGAGCATGCCGACAGTCGCAACTTACTTTGGTTCTCCAACCTTGCCTTCGGCAGAAGTGGGAAAAGCCGAATCTCAGCACAGGCAAGGAGACGCACACGATGTGTGCTCACGTATGTGTTCAAGCATGTATACATGCCTGCTGTGTATATATGATTCATATACACAGACAGATACGTATCGGCAACAACCTTGCGCTGTGCACTCAGAGACCCGTGCACTTTGCAGCCTGCGGACTGTCCGCAAGCGACGGAACTTTACTATCGTAACATCCTTGCTTGGCATCCAATCCGGCCGATATATGATGGTCACGTTGAGTCGACATGTGCTCAGGCTCGTGCCGTGCCCAGGGGCTGGGGAAGTCGAACGCCCCGGCCTGCAACTTGCTGAGTTCTGGGAGCTCCCAAGACTGGAACATGCGACGATCTTCCACAGGGCGTCTCTAGTCTTTGCTTACACAACGCCATGTCAATGTTGCTCTACGCCGCCGGCGCCTAGAAGGGGTTCAAGGCCGTCCACGACGCTCTCAGCCATGGGAAAGCTTGCTGCGTTCACTTTAACTAAGCTAGGACGTTATGCAGCTTTGCGCTTATGCCGCTTCTCGCAGGAGCTTACACTTAGCTGCAGCTGATTATCTGATGTATGGGCCTGCACTGCCTAAACCTTGAATGATATTACTGAAGATGCATTGAACAGTCATCGTCATGATCAGCTGCCGCTGTCGGCTGGCTGTCCTCTTGAATGGGACAGCTGCGGCGATACAAAATTCCAACTTGCCAATTCCTTCTCTGCCATGTGCCCTGCAGATGTTTCCCGACATGATGACCTGCGGTGTGCCACTGCCCTGCGTCAGGGGTCTAGCTCCTTCACACCGATGTGTTCCTCCCACTTGTCGAAGTAGGTATACCCCTCCTGAGAGGCTCGGAGGCTCCGACTCAGCGCATAATCGGCTCCGGCTACACCTTCTGAACTTCCCTGCAGACAGGATTCCCAGGCAAATCTCACACTATCCAGCAAGCTGTACCTGAGAACTTACTCCAGGCAAGGTCTTGTGAAAGCGTGTTGCGAGACAAGGGGGATGTGCGTAATCACGTAAGCTGCGGAACTGAGGGGGGCCTCAAACGGAACGGAGCTGAGGTTCGCACATCGTGCGGCAAATGCCGGAAGAGTAGCCTGGATGGAAGAAATGAACCCTCTTGCAGCTCAAGGCATAGTCTATAGTGAGCCGAAAGAAGAATGTGCGCCATGTTCGCACCTGTCGAGCCCTGACCGGCTCCAGGAAGCTTGTCGACGTTGAGCGTGCGCCTCAAGAAGAGTTCCTACGCTTCTCTGAAGGCGGTGCAAAGTATCAAAGGCCATGGGGACATCATTCTCTGACACTTGCCATAAGCAGCAGCTGCAAAGTGGTAGTTATAATCGATCCTCCGCAACAGCCACCAGTGGGGCAGGCACCAGCCGTTGCGAGAAAGCTCGGTCGCAATGGAATTTCCAATCACCCCTGCGCCAATGATGATGGCATCCTTGTTGCATTTTTGCTGCTCAATTCAGAAGCTCGTGTGGTCAGGTTCTTTGAGCTGAACTTTTGAGCTATCATACGATCAAATGATCAAACCAAACATGAATCGTGAAGCACTGCACTGTACTGAGGAAAACTTGGATCCAGACATAGCTGTTAACTTTCCTGCAATCAGGGCACGGATACACACGTGCAGCGTTCCCGACATTCCCGCTTGACCGCACGGCATGAGCTGAAATCCGCTGCAATCTGCATACTCGCCCGGATCACCCTGTGCTTGCCGACCCATGGCAAGTGGTTCGTGCCGCATTGAATAAGCCGTGACGTGAGTGAGTGAATCAATGAGTCAGTGAGTGGGTGAGTCAGCTAGGGAGTGAGAGACAGAGACAGAGACCAGAGATGCAGGCAGGGAAGGAAAGACGGCAAAGACGGCGAGAGACAGAGAGAAAGACAGAACAATGGTGTCAGACACGGAGAGAGAGAGAGAGAGAGAGAGAGAGAGAGAGAGAGAGTGTATGTGTGTGTGTGGTTTGCGAGGGAAGTGTAGGAAGGAGAGACCGGAATAGAAGCAAATGTAAAGCAAAGCCAAGGCAACAACAAAAATGCTGATTTCTGCAGTCACGTGTGCGGACGGAACGCAGGTGGTTCTGTCTCATTGGAGGTCGATGACTACCTTCACCACATCTTCGTGGTACCTCGCATTGGATTGCCGGTGTCAGGCTCGCGCTGTGTCGCCACATGTCAGCTATAGTTCGGCCTTTGAGCTGAAAGGAATTTGGCCAGGAACGCCGTTGGGACCCAGCCAAAGACAGTTAACATTGCCGGATCTCATCTGTGTTGGACCCTGGTTCTATCATGCTACAGCGCTTCCATCTTCTAGCTGCCTCTGCCAAGGAACTCAGACGCCATCTTGAAAGCTTGTTGAATTTCAGCGAGTGGGAGGACATGGGTGAAGATGCCTCGAGTGACAATTCCACCGTGTGGACAAGGCCAAGACTGCCAAGAACTACTAACTCGGGACGCAGTCGCATCGAAAACCCAGGCCTGCTCACTCGCTGAGATGACATATCATCAGGAGAGATCCGTGAACTTCCTAACTTTAGTGGCGACTTCTCGTTGCTGATGAGAGGCCTTCCGTGCTAAAGCTGCCTCGCTCAATCAGCTCCACAGCTTGAGGAAAATCTATTCCTTCCGTGAGCACAAGGAACAAGGCCAGCTGAACGCTGCTTCGTGTCTCGAGCCTGGATCTGGTATCACAGACGACATCAATGTGACGTTCTTGCGGAAGAACTTCGCAAACTGAAAAGTTCCGTAAACCTCAGAGATCAGCTGGACTTCGGTTGAGACAAGCTGCAGGTGCTAGTACTGCGTGCTTCACAAGCATGTGGCCAAAACACTGCATCATCCGGCACGCCAAATGCAACCACCGTACCTTTGTTGTGTTGTCACCCACGATCGAAACATGGAACAAGGGCAGCCACGCTCAGTGAAGCGAACTTCCGACTCTCCGACATCGACAAGTCGGATCATGTCGCAACCACCCTTGTCGATACCCGTCTCTTCCTCTTTTCAGGAATGCGGCCGCGCTTTGCAACAAGGTCCAAAGCATCGTTGATCGTGGCCTCGGTCCAGATTTTGCCCGGACAAAGACTTGTAAAGGTGGTCAGCTCACATGACAGGACTGGAGTGGTGCTGTGGTGACCTGCCTGGTTGTGACCAACCATCTCCAACACCACATCCGCCCCACGACCGCCAGTAGCTGCAGCAACGACCGCGGCGGCGTCCTAGTCGATGGCAACTCATGCAAGTGAGTCGTTCGCGAAAAACCCTCCCTCTACTTGCTCATATGTGGCGATTTCTTGCGGTTCGTGTACATATGTTGTCGATTTGAGAAGTCTTTCGGCTCCTCCGGCGCAACGGCTTTGGTCGCGCCGAACTCTTCCTTAGCTCGCATCAAGCACGGGCTGCAAGGCTGCAAGCATCCTGTCTGCTTCTTCTTCGGATTCCCACTGCTGCTACTCGTTGAAGCCGCTAGCAGCTGATTCTGCTATTGCCCCTCGTCCTACAGCTAATGCCGGCTACTAGCACGAAATCGTCTTCTATCAGAATGCGACAGCGACCACGACTAACAACGACTATGGCTGTGGAGTGAATTCAAGTGCAGCTGTGAGTAAGCATGCTCGTACATCAGCGTAGAGTGAGATGCACCGTCCAGGCTGTGCTGAATTTTTATTGGACTGACCGTATCTGAATAGTGGACAAGAGAAAGCACCATACTTAGCCAAACACCAAATGTCGATGAAGAAGAAGATGATGATGATGATGACGGGTTTGAGCTGCTCGACATGTCCCGAAGAAGTTCACAAGTGCCCACGATCTCAAGCGAGATCCGGCAAGGACCCCCTCCCTCTAACTCGGAGAATATCAGGAAAGGAGGGGGGACGAAGAAATCACCCCTCAAGATCCTAGCGGGCCCGACACCAACCGACCATTCAACAAGAATTGCACGCGGTGAGCGGCAACATTGAAGCAATCCCCGCACTACGATGGTGTGGACAAGAACGCAGGTGCGAGTGTAGATCATTGCCATCGGGAAGCAGCTTTGCGACGTCTGAAGGCCAATGGCTCCACAGCGAGGATGTGCCTGCCAGTCGGGAAACATTTTGCACCCTTGTGACCTTTCTTCCTTCTGCATGGTATTCCTACACGAGGCTGGTTTGTTGCTTCGCCCTCAGCCACGGTTGGCCGAGATTGCAGGCAGCTGCGTTCGGCTGGTACGAAGTGTGACCCGAGAGTGGCCCCACCGTGAGCAAGATACGGTAGATCTGCCGAGCTACCAATCATCAGCCAGCAGTTGAAACATGTGAAGCCACTGCTCGGATCAGCTGGCGTTCTGAACGAATGCAGCAAAAATATGGAAAACAAGTATGGCCAATTAAAGGAGTGCCTTTTCCAGACGACCACAGCCAAAAAAAAAACACCCTTGGAGAAAAGACTCGTTCACAAAAGCATCACAAACCGAAAGCCTGTAAAGTGTAGGAGTGACACGCCCGGTACCTTAAAAGGTGCTGCTTGAAGACCCTAAACCCAAAAAACATGAAGCCTACGGCAGAAGGAGTCAATATGTGCCCCAAAAGCCAACCAAATCTTGAAGGAGCGAGTGGTCGACCCAAAAAGGAGTGATTGATGCGAAGAAACCCAACGCAAAACTGGAGATCTGGGCGGCTCAAAAACTCTCAAAGGAGTGCCTCGTTGACAAAACCCTCTTTGAAACGAAAAAATGGACGCTAGGGCCCAAGGCTGGGCCTCTTTGGAGCCTGTTGTTTGCTTGATGTTTCACGAGATCCAGAAGATGTATGATTACGGCTTTGCACGCTGACGTCAAAGACGAACTTTTGTATGTAAGAGATCTGAACTCGTTCAAACCGCATTGATTGGCGAGCTACAAAGCCGTGTGTGTGTGTGTGTGTGGGTGGAAAAACTGGGGCCACACAGCAATCCTTTCTGAAAAACTGGTTCAGCAAAATCTCAGCAGCAGTCATAGGGAGTTCGTAGAATGGGTAGCAAGCCCACAGGTCGCGCTTGATCTTGGAATAATCATCACCTTCCGGGTCAGCCGATTCACATCCTCGCCCGCTCCGATTCGCGAAGCTGATTTCGCCACTGCTGCAGCTGTCTTCAGCTGAGATTGTTGCTTGCGATCCACAGCCGCATCAACTTCCAGGATGAACTTGTTTGAAGGATCTCATATGATCCAATGATTATGAGCATAGGAGTCAGTGTATGGGGCTGAGCCTTCTCGGAAAAGGATTCCTGCACATCTTCATGCACCACAGACATACGCCAGCCTTGCGCAGAGTTGGGCAACCAGCCGCGTAGCCATTAGACCATTTTGGCCCTGCCTGAGGTAGTTCAGACTCTCAGGCGCTGTCAACCTGCAGCAACTTCCACACTCCCATCGACAATCCATGTCGCTTAGACAGCATAGAAATGCTGCAGCGACCAAATCCAAATCACCATGTGAAAGCCTGCGCAAATTTGACAGCCGGCAGAATGAAACCGCTCGCACTGAACTTATGATACACATGATCATCATAACAACGGAACAATCATACGAGGGAGAGAGTTAACAAATGTTGAGGGGCTTGGGCAGACATTCCGTCGACGGGTTCATGCAGCCGAAGCCCAGCCGGCTTTGTTTCTTTCCGGTTTGCGCGGGCCTTCGAAGTGGCAAAGTACTGCATTTATTCAAAGCGAGTTGCCCCAGGATCACTACGCTCTTGCCGAAGAATGAGTCCATCCTCCTATGCAGACATCAGACTTTGATCGTACACACGCCACACGCTTGTAAACTCGGAACGGCCAGGGCCAGGGTGGCAACTCCATGGGCTCCTGAACATTCGGAGGAGGGTGCCCAACGCCTGTGCTGCCAGCATGCGCGGGATGCACTCCTCGACAGCAAGATGCCGACACGGAATAGTACCGTACAATGCATCCGTCTCCCTGGGCCGTCCTTGATCTTGTACGTGCAAAGTTCGTGGCTGGTGAAGATCTCCTTGCATGGCGAGGCGGGTGGCGAAGCCCTAAGAAGGCCGTCTTCACCAATTCGAATCAATGCAGGGTCTGTGCCGGGATTGTGTCTCACATCGCACTCAGTCAAGTCACGCTGAAACCCCCTCGGACTGGAAAGTTTGTGAGAAGCACCTCAGTGCCCAGTGGGATCGAAACTTGTCCCGTCCACTTCTTCGAACCCCTGCAAAAAGCTCGAAACAAGCTGTGCTCATCTCCACTCACCCGGAAAACCAACCAACCAGACTCTGAGCCTCCGTCCAAAACCCAGAAGTCACAAAAAGGGTGAGCTCGAACTCTGATTGGATTGGCAGTTCATGCAGCTCACAAATCCAAGGCTGTGTTGTATTGTTGTATGGTGCTACACTGCACCCGAAGCCAAGCCAGGCCCTCGACCTCCCGCCCCCGCTTCCGAGCAATGTGGCAAGCTGAGGGGCGCTGTGTACCGCCTCGTCGTACCACTCTTGCTGCGTCGCAACATGGGCCTGCGCAGGCAACGAGTTGCTGAATGCAAGAAGACAACAGGGCCTCAGGAAGCAAGACGCGGCCTTAAAATAGGAGGACGGCAAGGAGAGAACGGAATCCCCTTTGGCAAACCTTTCGGTGCTGGACCTGAGCTGAGCAGGGCGGAGCCGGGCGCTTCGCGTCTCTGCTTTCGGCGTAGCTCCTCCAAGAGCCGGACTCCAGGACCTCACCTACCACCTCACGAGGCCACAGGGTCTCGTTTCAGTGAGGGCACCACCGTATCCAGGGACCGCCTCATGCCCGCAAAAGCCGTCGCGGTCCCAATAACAGCTGGGGGCTCGCGATGTCATGTCTCCTCGGTGCTCAGATGCACCAGGTATGAGACTCTCGTAACTTCAGGCATCGGCATGCCACAGTCACAGCAGGGCGGAAATTGAGCTCAGCGGCGAAAATAAGGAATGTCAGAACCACAAAGAGATGCATACCTTGCTCTTATCAGCAGTGAGCCTCACAAAGCGCTGATGAATGTTGCAAAAACCATCCACAAGTCGCATGCGTCTGCACAGACGAGAAGAGGACAGGCCTGGTGGGCACTCGTCAAGAGAAGGACGTGGCGACTCCACCACGCGGAGTGCCTTCGAAGGTGTGGACAAAAGCCAAGGCTGTGATACGCTGTGCACGGGGAATGGGGGAGCCTTCGAGGAGAAAAGCCGCGCTGCGCAACAGGAGCAGTTGATGTCGGCACCTTCAGGGCTCTGTGGCTGTGCTTTGCATGCCGGTGGGGATCCAGAGCTCAACTGCCGAGATCTTTGCACTGGAACGAACAGACGAATTTGAACAGTGCCCCAGCTCTCGTCCCAGCTACTAGCGGGCTGCAGCTGCAACTTCGCAAAGAGGGCGCTGCGATGGAAGTTGACCTTCGCGGACCAGGTTAGTTTTGGCGACATAGCTAATCGGTTCTTCTGCTGTCATTGGTCATGCATCTCGAGAGCTTGGGCTTGAGTCTTCGGGCAGAAATGGAAGGGAAAGGCAGGGTACCTCTGCATCCCCAGGATCGACGAAGGTCGTCCAGATCATCCTCGCAAGGCTACAGTTTCGGGGGGTTGCAGGTCGCGAGCTTTTCGCATTTTCGGTCTGTAGTTCTGCCGAGCGTCCCCCGGAGTAGGGCTTCCGAGATCTCTCGGCTCAGGAAGTTTCCTGCTTCGTTCTTGTGCGGGTGCTGCGCACGGTGGAGGCCGATCCGAATCTCCTTCTCTGGATCCTGAGTCTGAGTCACCCTGCGCGCAGCCCGAACCATTGCTTTTTTGCCGTGGCTCCATCTTCATGGCATCCCAGCGAAACTGGGCGAACACCTTACAGTTAAGACAGGGTTAGGAAAGCGAGTGAAACTGTGGGAATTGCACCGCCGCGCTCCAGATGCCAACACGATGCCACGCGCTTCGTGGGTGCAGGCGATTCCGCAGTTGGCAGAGGGCTCCTCAGCTTCGCTAAGACGGCGAAGTACCTTTGAGCCGGATCGACCAAGGCACGCGGAATCGCAGTGGCCGACAGAAAGCTGCGAAGTCCAGGCCTTGCGCACGCGGCTCTAGCGGCTCTTAGCGGCGGTGTCTGTGGCAGCTCGCGGCTCTACGACGGGGTCTGGCCTTGGCTGCAGAGTCCGAGTCCCAGTGAAAGTCGAAGGATCCGTTGAAGACGGCGCGATTCGTTAACATCTGCAGGGCTTTCGCAGTGCGGGGCCGCGCCGTACGGGCCAAGCTATAGAAATCCCGGCTGCGCCTTCCCTTCGAAGTTCACCTCGAAGGCGTAGTAGGTCTGGCCGATCGGGGTGGAGCTGCCATCTGCGCCATGGCCCACAGGGCCCAAGGCCCAGAACACTTTGTTCAAACTTCAAACCTTTGGACTGCCCGGCCTGGCTGCCATAGGAAGCACTCGACGCGCTCGTCCAGCAGCACCGAGCGCATCTTGGCGGGAACGCTCCCGCCCTGCCACTGCCGCCAGACTTGGGCTTCGGAAAAACGGAAGCGGATGCTCAAACCTCAAGTCCCTCGAGGACCGCAGGCTCCACCAAGCTGGCCTTGGCTCCAGCAGTGCTGCAGCGAAGTTGAAGAGCTCCACTGTGTGACTGTTGTGGCTGTGGAGGCGGAAGGGCGGACAGCCCAAGGCTCTCAAATCAACATCTGCCACACTGTGTGTAATGCTCTGGCGAAGATCATCGATCGCCGCCGCCGTGGCACCCTCCAATTCCCAGCAGACATACAGGGCCTGTGAAAAGGGAAGCGTCTGCTGGGAAGGTGCATCCACAACGGCATCCAGCAAAGGACCAAGACCCACACTGCAAGTTGCGGATTACGTGAACTATGCAACCAGCTTCACACTTCTTGACTGCACGGTCGCACCTTGTCGTCCCAAAGCAGCCTGACTGTCGTCGGGAAGCCCTGTTCCAGGTGACTGCACCACATCAACTTTTACAAAGAAGCGTTGCTGAGCAAGGCGGGCTTGGACCCTTCCTTTGTTCCTCTGCCTCGGGGCCAGGCCACTTGCGAGGCCGTCCCAGGACCACACCTCACTCGGGAAGGGTCAGCTCTAAACGCAGGTCACGACTTTCGACCAAAATCGAACAAACACATCCACATCATACACGAGGCAATTCAAGAGAACGACTCTCCAGTACATGCGTGCCAGCTCGCTCGGCGCTCGCGAGAAGGCATGATACCTGATCTGCAGTTTCTGAGTCCTATGCACCCTGATAGGCCGATAGGCATGCTGCTAAGCCACGGCGACGGGCTCAGCGCAGGGTCAGCACCCCTCAGGGCTGACACCTCCCCATATCCCGAACTGAAGTCCGGGTGGCGTGACAGCTGAACTTCTTGCCCATGGGCCACAGGTACTGGTAAGTGATCTTACACGATCTTACTGCTACTCTCGCCTCGCTTTCGTCGGCTGTTGTTCGATGCGACCTGGCTGCAAAAGGGATGCTGAGCACAGAAGACTACTTGCATTGAGTCCGCCATTGCAGAAGCTTCGACGAAATCCTTCAATGTGGGGCTGAGACTGATTCGCTACTGGCTGCAGGTCGGAAGGAAGCCTTGACCTCGAAGCCACTTTGGAAGCCATGAGCCAACTGTACAAGACTGGCGCACGGCTCCAGGTGTGATGGGGGGGGCCGTCGCGCCTTGAGGTGTTTAAGTAACGCCGGAGCCCTAGGCGCTTGTTGGCGCAGCCTCTCTGCTTCTTGCTCAAGATGCTCAAGCTGCCAAGGCTTTGCTCGGCTTGATCCTGAACGACTGCACGCTGGTCTGGGTCACGACTTGCTTTGCGATGTGCCTTGGCTATGGAACACCTCCCCGCACTGTGGCCACGACGATTTACAGCATTCCATTGCTTGGTTGAGTTAGTTTAGTTTACACGGAAGGCCTCGCACTGGAGACCCGTCGCAGGCTACGAATAGCCGGGTGCATCATGGGCGAAGGCACTCAGGCGACAAGGCTAAGATGGTAAGACATGGTAGGATGCTCGTGCTTTTCAAGCCGTTGGAACCCCCCCACTCCGATCTGTATGAAGAGCCATGTTGACTGCGCTTCCTTGCCTAGACTCTGAAAACATCCATGGCGCATCCTGTTATGTGGCGCTACGCTTGAAGGCCAAGCAGAACGACATGAAGAGTGCAAAGCTTTGGAGTCACAGCTGATCTCTCTGACAACTCCGCCTCCGATAACAGATCAAGTCAAGCAGCCAACCTCATGGAGCGGGTACAGGAGTCTTAAATGCCAGCCTTTCTTAGGGGATCCCAAACAGAAGCCCCTGCTGCAATGTCTTGCTTCAACACCGGCACCCAAGACTCAGTGCAATCAGACGAGGATCCGCGTGGGGCCGAACGGTGACCAAACACACTAGACAGGGCCAGCAGGCTAAGTTCCTCACTGCTGTTTTGGGAACCATGGGTTTTCGGGGCATGGCACATGACGACAGCCACATTTAGGCCGTCGTGAGAACTTGTTCATCGTGATGGACAGTTTGTCCATGGAATCAAACGCTGGACTGGATGCCAGTGAGCTCCTCACTGAGGGCCCACAGCCTAAGCTCGTTCCGAACAGGTCTTACTCTTCGGGCTGGTTCGGGAAACAGGCTCAAAGGGGGATGAGGCTTGCATAGTTCATAGCCTACTGCAGTGTAGGCATTGGTGCCTGCGATGTGTTTTCCAAAACCGCGGGGCGGCTAAGATTTCCCGCATCTGGCAACGAAAACTGGGGAAGCACTGGGTTGTCAAAATATGATTCAAATGAGTCGGCGTGAGACCACTGGGCAAGAGCGATGGGTTTGGAATCGTTGGCTGCCTAGATATTGTGAAGATGAACTCGCATCGTTGCCGTCGTCCATGATAAGATCACAAGTCGCAACGGAGAAAGCAGGGCCTTTTTATTTGTTTCCAAAAATTCCCCTGCAGTGACTGAAGGCACTTCTTTCCCCCGGCCTGTCCAGGTTGCTGCGGTCTCGTGCAACCTGCGACGACAAGGTCACGTACAAATGAATAAACATGCAATACGATGAGCATATGTGTACATATACATATACATATACATATACATATACATATACATATATATATATATATTTGTGCACACAATACAGGCACGCTCCAGTCGTCCATCTTTGCATACATTTATCGATTTGCATTTTCATGTATCCACCTGATAGTTATTGACACTTCCTGGTGACATCTGTTCGTACATATATATATATATATGTATATATGTATATATGTATATATGTATATATGTATATATGTATATATGTATATATGTATATATATATATGTGTGTATGTATATATAGATATATTCTTATACTATATATATATATACAAATTTGTATATGTGCAATCCCCCGTCATGTGCCCACGCACCGTGCTGGAGTAGAGCGCTCGTGTGGTGGCTGAACTGCACACCCGTTGCATTGTGCTTTACACTTACCACAAAGTTCATGTGACCCAGTGACCCATCCGGTATAGTATCGTGCATATCTGCATGGCTGGTGGCAGAAACAAACAGACATTGCATGTATAGGGGCTTGGTGTAGGCCTCCACCTTGGACCCAGAAGCAAAGCCCTGACGTGAACACAGACCGGGCTTAATTTCTAGGGGTCGCCCTTCCTGACGGTCCCTGGAACCTTTTAAGCCCTGGAAGAGGCGGTGCCGGGCGGCTGATGTCAGGAGCCAGGGATCGGGGTCGAACACTTGATCTTACATCACTCAAGCGAGCGAAACACTCGTTCGGGTGCCACGATCACGTCTCCAACCCCGATCCCTGGCTCCTGACATCAGCTGCCCGACACCGCGGTGACACGGTGGCTCTTCCCGGGCTGGGATCCAGGGACCTGGACGAAAGGGGTCCCCATAGAAATAGCCGTAGCCACAGCACCAGCAGAAGCAGCGGCAGCAGCCGTAGCCGCAGCCGTAGCACGTAGCCATAGCCAGCAACCGTAGCAGTAGCCATAGCAGTAGCAGCAGCAGTAGCCGTAGCCATAGCCGTGGCAGTAGCAGTAGCCGTAGCAGGCGGGACCGAGGTGACATGATGCTTCTGGGGTTGCAAGGAATCCACCTGTGGTCTGAACCTGAGCTCTAAAAAAAACCAGAACACCAGACCCCAGTCATGTGTTAGTTTGAACGTTGGCGAATCAAGCAGCTCCCCAGAACTGGCTAACGCATGCCTCCCAGGTGAGTGGGTGTCCGAGGAAAGTGGACACAAACTCCTTCTTGAAGCCGGAACCGAGGTGCATCCTACACAAAAAGCAAATTCCGGTTCCAGGATTCCTTTTGGGCCGACGTGATCTTTGCTCGCTGTAAACATCTGTCGGCCTTGGTATGCTGGTTCACATGATGGTCCGCCGGCACCGGTCTATGGCCTGGGTACCGGACTTGACAGTCATCTCCTTGCTCCCGAGATCGCGTGGGTGACGCGATGCGCACGTAATGAGCTTGCAATGCATGGCCTTGTAATGGGGCACGCCTTCAAGCTGAGCTCGTAGCTCCTGACGACTCTGTATGAATTTATTTGTATATTAAACACATCGCGATATCGAACAGCTCGTTGCCCAAAGCCCTCCGTGCAATCTTCCTGATGGCTCAGGCCCGCAGGCACGCTTCAGGGCTGAAATTTTCGAAGGATCAGGGTCTCTAGGCGGTCACACTGAACGATGCTCGCCCGATCTGTGGATGTGAGGAGTGCTTGAATTCCACATCCTCAGACATGCAGCGCCTGTCAGAAGTGGCCTCACTAGCCTCTGTCCTTCCAGGACCTCCAAAATGATCTCCGTTTCCTTCTTCTCGACAGCTTCTTTCCCATGTCCTCCATGGCCTTATGGTACTTATGGTTGATATCGAGAGGGTCGCTGCCTAGCCATGCAATTGGGCCCAAGGCATTTTCATACACCTCGCCCGGCTTCGCACTGGGCCTTGTTTCGCATGATGCCAACCGACAACTGCTGAGCCAGCTTGTGGTGTCTTGGGTTCTCACCGGCGTGCTCTGTTAGCCAAACTGCTGAGCTGCAGCTGTCCGCCCAATCCGAAATCCAAAGAAAAACCTCTTGGTACGTAGGCAACTGTGGTAGACTCCGAATCATCTGACGAAAACGAGGACGATGATGAGGCTTGTGGTGGAATGCTGTTCTCCTCTGGGTTGATGTCAACAGTGTCCTGGATGGCTTGTGTCAAAATGCCGTCTTCGCTGTGTCATCATCCTCGATGGCCAGCACTGGCTTCCTGCAGGATTCGGGTATGGGCTCATTGATAAAAGCAGCAAACGATTGCGTGCAACCTAATTTCAAGAACGGCGGCCACGTCTCGTGGAGTACGATCACGCCATCCCAAGTCTGTTGGGTGATGTTCTCCATGCTGGGCCGTGTCCCGGCCGTGCAGTTGGAGCTTGTGGGTTGTGCCATTGCAACAAGGGGATGAGGATCCAGGCTTGCGCACGAAATGCGGCGGCCTGATGCGGAAAACAAGTTCAAACAGATATGGTTTGGAACCACGACAGTGCGTATTGCAAAGGATTCAAAGCGTGTTCAATTGAATAAGCCTCGGATCCAAGATTCAAGGTGCAGGGGACAGTCCTTCCGAGAATCTTGAATCTTGGATCCAAGACGTATTCAACTAAGTACGTTTTGAACCCGATTGAATCCGCGTTATCTGGTTCCGCGGCGAGAGTTTTGCACCTCAACAAAAGCCAGAAAGCTGCGTGTACAGGCAATCCCCCGATCCCAATAACCCAAGCTTTCCTGAAGCTGAGATTTACAGAAAAACGTGGGTACATGGCGGGTACCATACATCTCTTTGACTGGTTTTCCTCAGAGCGGCTGTGTCTACTATAAGACCACATATGGGAATCTATACATATATATATAGATACATGTGCATCTATATATAGAATTATATACATATCTGTATATATGTATGTAGATATGCTTGCGCGTATGCATGTACATGTAGAGCTGCATGCATACATGCGGACGGACGGATGGACGCGCATGTAAGTATGTAAGTATGTAATTATGCTTGTAAGCATCCGACCTGGATCCTGTGCCTCGAAAGCGACAGAGATGTTTGTAAGTACGTGTGCAAGTGAGTACGTAGGTAGGCAGGTCACTATCCATGCGCTGTTCGACTTGGACACTGTCTTTACCATCCAGTTTCTTCGATTCGCTGCCGCACAACACGTAGAACCGCGTGCTCGCAGCTGTCATTGAGAAAAGGCGCTGAACGTCCGTTCTTGCGATGCCCACATCTGTGGCCGCGTCTTTTAAGTGCACACGAGCAGAGTACCCTTCGGGTCTCTACAAGTGGCGGAAGATCTTGAGCCCGAGGGTTCAAGCCTAAAGAAGCCTGCATGTCGCCCAAGGCAGAATCCAGAACCCGCACCTGCCAAAGGATTTGGCTAGCCTATGTGGTCGTCTTCGCGGAGTCTCACGCTGCTGGGCAGCAGGTCTAATGGATCCTTGAGGGGCGCCAGCACCCTCAGCCTAGAAGGGTGATACAAGCACTCAGACTGCTCAGTACCCGAAAGTTGTGTAATGCCCCCCATACCTTGACATCGTGCGCATAGAGACAGGAAACATACTAGAACGACGAACCGGCCACCGAACAGACAGTCGGCATGGCCCCCACGCAGATTGCGAGGTTGCGGAGCTATGCGAGCGATCCAGCTGAACCCGGCAGTCTGAACCATGGCCAATTCTTTACGAGTGGCGCGCCGGGACCCGGGGTTTCAGTCTCCTCGCAGTACGGAACAGGCAGAGCTTTGTCTTGCTCTCCCGGAGCTCTACATCATCCCACATGTATCCATGAGGATATGGGCACAGAGTGCAAAGCTGCGACCGCTGAAACTCTCCTTGCGCAGCTTTGATGCCACCAAATTCCGACCGGCGGATCCGAAGCTGAACTTTGGGGGCCGCTGGAAGGTCCTCAGAGTGGAGCTCTGTGGGAACTCTTTGGAGCACAACATGTCAAGAACCCAAGTTGAATACCCAATGATTTTCAATCTAAAGGACAGGGAGGTTGGCTGCTCTAAGGAGCTTCCAAGCTTAGGTCATTGTCAATGCTCGCACATCTTCCCTTGCCGATCTTTGGTGCTGTATCCTCGATATGCATCATGAATCGATGCGCTGCTGGACTGCGTCCCAGGGGCTTTGCTGCTGTCTCGGCAGCCGACACCTGCCAAATGTAGAGAACCGAGCGTAACGAGAGCTGAGTTTAACGGCCCCTCAAAGTGCCTCGTAGGTGCCAGGCCCTGGCCTCATCGGAGACTGACAGTCGGGACTCGGGACGGGGCTGTTTTTTCGCAACTGCGGCTGGAGCACACCGGCCGGGGCCGTGCGAGCTGGTCGGGGCTGCGCTCGGTGAAGGACCACTTCGGGGCCTGGCAGCAAACTCCGACTTCTCGAATTTTCTGCGAGCAGAAACCTTCAGAAACACAGACATCGGCCTTTTTATGGTGCGATAAGCAGGTGGTCAGCGGGTGGCACACGCCTTGACTGCGTACGTGAGGCTTCTGAGAAGAGGCCCGTGGCACTTACTTGAGAAGCATGTCCAGACAAATACTTGGAGAGCGAACAAGTCCTGTCCCACCCTGTCCGAATAGGATGAGTGCACCGCCCGTCTAGGAGCGAAAATGCATGGCTGCTTGCACGGCTGCTTTAGCCTGAACGATGCCATGGAACGCTGCAGCTTTCCTGGAAGCACGAAGGCAGCAGAGTCCACTGACGCCTGCTCCAATACAGACATGTCGCTCCAAAACACGGAGGGGGTGAGGTCGGTGTGTTCTAAAGGATCCTCGAGGAGAGCTTGGAAAACTGCCGTCTCCTCATGTACTGAAGAAGGATGTTTCAGCTGACGAAGATGCCAACAGACATCGAAGGACAAGTGAAATCATTTCACTGATAAGGCAGGAGCGGCATGACGATAGATCTCCGAAGCACAAAAAAGCAAGCTTTAACTCGCGAACTCTCAG